GTATAGGGGGTTCTAGGGAGGGGAAATGGGTAAAGGGGATGATATCTGTAGTGTAAATAAATAAAATATCCAATAAAAAAGAAGAAGAAAAAAAGCCAAAATGTGAAGAAAAAAAGGTATATGAATAAATGTAAAGGTAGTGTAGACTTAATCACCGTTAAAGCCATGTAGTATTGCTTCAGAAAAAAAAAAAAAAAAGAAAAAAAATGTTAAACGAAGGGTTTAAAAGAATCATTCTGGAAACTCAATGATTTTCAAGAGAACACACCCAAATAATTAAAGGAAGTAAGGAAGACAATGTGTAATATAAATGAAGAAAATTTACTGAAATCATACAGCTTGAAACAGATTCAGTCATAAAACTTGGAAACTAACAGCTGTACAAAATAAATGAAAATAGGTCTGAAAATAAATCCTGATGGCACCAAATGGCAACTCTACCTGTTTAGAAGTCTATTGAGAAATATTGTCTTTGAGTTTGCTTATGATTAATATGTGATTTTAAAATTTGCATGTTATTCATAATGACACTCAAAAATTAAGGATCAAATGTATATAATACAATAAATATGAGCCAAATGTGAGTCAAATAGAAGATAACCAGATAACCAAAGAAATGATAATTTCAAAAGAAATGGAAAAAAGAATAAATGCATCTCTAACATAGCAGCCTAGCAAAGTATGCTCTAAAGAGAGCAACATTCAAAAATGAAACATAGCTACCAACTTCCAACATCAAGAACAATAGAATAGAAGATGTATAAACTAAATATAGAGAAGAAATTAATATAGGTACATAAAATCTATTTAAATATCAATTTCAACTTTTCAAAATTAAAGTTGAGAAAATGACTGCACTATAAAATTTATTTATAGGTTGAAGAAAAACTTTTCAAAATACTGTTATATTTCATTACACAGGTTTAAAAAATAATACCAGAAAATTATACAAGCAGAAAAATACATAAGTAGAACCAAGCAATGCCAAGAAGTAAAAACACTGCTAGAAAGACTATAAGATCAGAACTCAATCTATAATCCAGAGCTATAGTAATAAACACAGCCCAGTATTGGTAATACTATACACAGGTCAATTAATGGGCAGTAGTAGAAAACCAGTTATGCTTGCCAGATTTGGAGAAATGAAACAAAATCAAGTATAGGAATAGAGCTCACTTACATCTTGTGCTGGTAAAACTGAATTTCTACCCACAGAATGAAATTTGATCCTTTCACCTGGCACAAAAATCCACTGAGCTCGGGTCAACAACCTTTACATAATGCCTGAAATACTGAACCTTTCAGAAGAAAATATAAGGGATCCACTTCAAGATATGAGGTAGGCCCGAACTGTTTGATTAGAACACTAACAGTACAGAAACTAACACCAAGTATCATTAGATACAACTACTCAAAAATATAATTTCTTTACATCAGAGGATACATTCAAGAGAGCAAACCCAGACTACATATGGAAGAAATCCTTGCCATCTACACTTCAGACAAGGAGTTAATACCTAGAATTTACAAAGATTTAAAAACTTTAAATCCAAGTAACCATGCCCATCAATCTAAACGTCCAATGAATGGAATAGGCAATTTATTTGCAAGCTTCTTACAATAAAGTTTATTTTTTTTAATAAATGTTTTTATGGGAATTCTAAAATGTGATCCACCAGAATCAACTTTGTTATCTCCCAGGAAAGTAAGGCTAGTTCAACCCAGATACCTGAATGATATCCTGTATTATATTAATGAAATAAATGATAAGCCAATGATCACTTTGATAGATATAGTAAACACATCTGATAAAACTCTATGTATAGTCCGGATAAAAATGTGTGAAAAATTTAGGTATAAAAAAGATAGTAGAGAAGAATAATCCAAAGCCATGATGTATATGACATAACATATGATGTACCTAGTACCATCTTCATTTTGGATGTACAATGCCAGAAAGCATTGACTATATGATCAGCAATAATTTAAAGACATCTAATCTTTTTGACTAAGTATCAGAATTTGATTTATAACAATGAGAAGATAAAGGATGTTAATTATTTGAAGTGGGGATCAAATCAATAATATTATTCTACATGCTAAATCTTTAAGACTCACCAAATTATAAGAACTGAAAACAAAACAGATTACCAACATGAATTACCAGTATACAAAAATCCATTTTCTATAGAGAAGTTCTATGTTTTTGGATAATTAACAAAGGAAGAAATCTCATTCACAGTAAGTACAAAAAATAAAATAGCAATGAATTTAACAACACAAATTAAAGATTTCAACCATGACAATGAGATTCCAGAGAAAGAATTTAAAAAGATGAAAATGTAAAAATGTTGTATACTAGTAGCTAGAAAGAATTAATATTTACAATAAAATGTCTGTTTTTAAAGAAGTAACAGACTATATGAAACCTCATTAAAAACAAATAACATTTTATATTTAAAAGGAGAAAAAATTCTAACATTTGTAAAGAAGTACAACAGAATGAGTAAACAAATTGAACTTATAATAAAAAATCTGGAGATATTACACACACACACACACACACATAACCTTATTTTCAGATACATTATGATCCACAGTAATGAGAACACTATGACATTGGGTTACACCAATGAATGAAAGAGTATGAGACTTGAGAAACTGATCTATTCATCTATAGTTAATTGATCTTAATTGAGTTTCCAAAACATATGGTGGAGAGATGATAGGTTCTTCAATAAATGATACAATGAAAATTGATATTCATGAAGAGACGATTAAAATTTCATTCCATCCTCTCAAAATTGGCAAAAATCAACTCTCAGTGGATGAAAGACATAAAGTTAAGAAAAAAAACACTAAAATTAGAAGGAAAAAATTGAACAAACAAAAAAAATACTTTACTGGGATTGGACAATGACGGTTTGAATGTACAGATGGAATGGCAAACCATGAGAGAGAAAGCATATCTTGATCAATGAAGTTAATCACAATGAAATATTTGTGTGTAGCCAAGAACATAATTAGTACTATTAAAAAAATGACAGCCTGTAGATTTAGAGAAAGTGGTTGTCAGTTTATTTTATTGTAGTGATTTATGTATATTATATAGGGTTTTCCTATGTAAAGAATACATATGGAATTGAAAATACTTTTAAAAAGAAAAGTAAGCCAACTAAAACTGGATAAAATGAACAGATATTCCTCAAAACAAACAAACAAACAAACAAACAAACAAACAACAGAACACATGCCAGTGAGGAAAAGAAAATGCTTAATAGTGTTGTCTATGATGGCACTGACAATGAAAGTTCCAATGAGATAACTTATCACCCTTTAGAATGGCATTATAGAAATGAGTGTTAAAGAACAGCAAATGTTCATGTGTATGTAGAGTAAAAGAAAATCATCTGTTCCTGGGTTTTTAAGTTATACTGAGTTACTATGGAGAAAAACTAAGAACCATTTTCTCTAAATTCTACAGGCTGTCATTTCATAATAGTATTGATTATGTTCTTGGCTACACACAAGTATTTCATTGCGATCAACTTCATTGGTCAAGATGCACTTTCTCTCCCATGGTTTGGCATTCCACCCAAACCATCATTGTCCAATCCCAGTGAAGTGTTTTCTTGATTGTAAGTTTTATAAAATCCTTGTTTCATAAAATCCTGAAAATAGATCCACCAGATATCATTACTGTGTCACTCTTTTTGGTATTTACTCAAAGAATTTGGAATCTACCAACTCTATTTGCATGTATATATTATTGTACATTGCTATGTCACAGTAGTTTTAAGATGGAAGAATTATCTGGACTTCCATCAGTTGATGAATGAACAAAGAGAATGTGATATATATATATATATATATATATATATATATATATATATGTGTGTGTGTGTGTGTGTGTGTGTGTGTGTGTGTTTTCAGACATAACATATAATTATGTTTATCATTTTAATGAGAAAAATCATAGTAGTGGACAATAAGTAAAATGATCCAACACAGGAACACAAATCATTTGTGTTTTTTTCTCACACAGTGGAAAGTAAAAATAAAACTTGAATGCAAGGCAAAGTTTAGTAGAATTACTAAATTTAGTAGTAATAAATTAGTAATTTATTAGTAAATTACTAATTTAGTAGGTGGTATATTGCAAAAGGGCAAAGGTATATCTTTGAATCTAGATCTGATTCATGTAAGGTGTGGTGGTTTGGAAAAGAATGTTCCCAAAGATTCGATTGCTTAATCATCAGGAAGTGATGCTCCTATATAAGGGTTAGGGGGTGTATCCTTCTTGAAATAGGTGTGGCCTCATTGGAGGATATTTGTTTTTGAGGGATAGGCTTTGAGGTTTCAATAGTCCAGTATAGAATTAGTATCTCTCTCGGTTGCCTTCAGATCTGGATGTAGAATTGTCAGCTACTTCTCCAAAATGTCTGCCTGCCTGACACAATGCTCCCTCCATGATGATAATGAATTAAACCTATGGAACTATAAGTAAGCTCCAATTAAATTCTTTTATAATAGATGATACAGTCATGATGTCTTCTTACAGAAATAGCAAGCTAACTAGGACAGTTTAATGGATATCTATGCAAAAAGCAAAATCTCAATAATAAAGAATGAAATATATAACAGCAGCTTTTAACCTGTGAATTGTGACCCTTCACAGGGTTCACACCATCAAAAACCACAGATATTCACATTTTAATTCATGAAAGTAGCAAAATTACAGATATGTGGTGATAACTAAAATAAATTTATGGTTGATAGTCACCAAAATATGAGAGTTGCAGCCTAGAAAGTTTGAGAACCAGTATAATTTTATTTTCAACTATATTATATATAAAAATCCTGATTTCCACACACACTTATATTTGGAAGTCAAATAATCATCTAAATAGTACTTTAACCACTGAATGTTATATTTTTCTCTGAAAAAATCCTAATCATGGGAGTGACCTTTTCACAATCCATGAGGAAAGGATACTTACGTAAACACTTTGGTGGCTCTGACCACTCTCCATTTCTGCAGGTTATGTTCTTGCTGCCCTGCATTTTATAGAAGGATTGGCACTTATACTCAACTGATGACAATGGTGCATATACTGGTAATGGGAAGGAGGTGATGTCTCCATTGTCAATAGCTGGAGGAGGCCCACATTTCCCTGTTGGGTCTAAGGAGACAACATTTGAGTAGTTGAGAGTTCAATTCAAAGTACAAACTTAAAAAACCTAAAAAAGTACAGTGCTAATCAAGACTTTGATGATGGATGTGAGGCTATAGAAATGATTGCTTGAAGAAAAATTTATTCCTAAATAATGAGAGTTACATTGTAAGTGCTTCCTTCCTTTTTACTGAAAGCACTTACTGAAAAAAACAAGCACGTCTGGTCTGAATCTTTTCAGTGCTGGTCTTCAAAACTACTGAACAAACAGATGTTAGTGCAGACTGTCAGAGTTTCTTTGTTTTCCAGACACCAGATGTTTACTGTTCCTTTTACCAGATACTCTTGGTCTGCATTATCATCTTTGTGGAAATGCACATTTGTGGATAAAAGATTAAAGGTTATAAGCACACAGAAGGCAAATGAGGTTTCCTGAAGGGTCAAGGTGAATATATGCATCTATATGCAATACTTTTGCTAAGTACAACTGATTTCTTAGATATAATATTTGTAGAAAGCAATACAGGAAGACTGGAGAAAATGAGAATTCTTGTGTAGGAACTTCAGGACACAGCTAACTGCATGATGCTGTCCTATTTGGTTCTCTTTGGGACTGATAATTGTACTGATAAGGCCAATGGAGAAGATGATAATCATGTAATGACGTTATATTCTGATGAATAAAATTTCAACAGGAACATTCTGAAACAAATCAAACTCCAATGTTGTTATAAAAAAACCCCAAAAAGTTCAAATTCCAAATAAAATATTTTAATTTTAAGGAAAATAAGGGAAATAGTCAGGCATAAGGTATGTACATGCATATTCATGAGCTGAGTAAACTCACACAGGATAAGTCCTCTTGAGCTTGGGGTGATACATATTAAAGATGTCAGCTTGAAGGAAGATCTGTAGGTAGCCATTACAAGCCACTCTGTACCAAAATCCAAAAGAAAGTCACCTCCCATCTACCACCATGGAAGCCATAGGAAGTGATAGATAATGACTGTAAGCTTGAATTATGTGTCCTGTGGTGCTAGCCTTTTTAGTAAAGACATTTATGATGACTTTGTCATATAAAAGAAGATAAAGGATTTCTTATCTATAGCAGTGATTTCCCCATAAAGAATAACTACTGAGATTCATTACATAGGTAAAAACAGAATTAAGACATTAAGAGAAATGTACCTGGTAGAAGGATGTGATAGATTATATTTCTGTTCATAGGACTGCTAAATTATCTTTATACTTGAAGTGAAGCTAGTGTTTCAGAATGGTGCTTAATATATGTAACACAGAATGCTAGGGGAATCCATATATAAAACATGGGAAGTAGAACTGGTAAATATACTCAAAAGATTCTCCAACATATAACAAAGACACATGCTCCACTATGTTCATAGCAGCCTTATATATAATAGCCTGAAGCTGGAAAGAGCCCAGATGTCCTTCAACAGAGGAATGGATACAGAAAATGTGGTACATTTACACAATGGTGTACTACTCAGCTATTAAAAACAATGAATTCAAGAAATTCTTAAGCAAATGGATGGAATTAGAAAATATCATCCTGAGTGAGGTAACCCAATCCCCAAAGAACACACATGGTATGCACTCACTGATAGGTAGATATTAGCCCCAAAGCTTGAAATAGCCAATATTCAACTTGCAGACCACATGAAGCTCATGAAGAAGGAAGACCAAATGTGGGTGCTTCGGTCCTTCTTAGAAGGAGTAACAAAATACTCTAGGGGGCAAATATGGAGACAAAGTGTGGGACAGAAACTGAAGGAGGGGTCATCTGGAGTTCATTCTACCTGGGTATCCACCCAATGTGCAGTCACCAAAGGTAGACGCTGATGTGGATTTCAGGAAGTGCATGCTGACACAAGCCTGATTTAGCTGTCTCCTTAGAGGTCTGCCAAAGTCTGGCATATACAGAGGTGGATGCCCACAGCTAACCATTGAACTGATCAAGCTAGTGACAGATAATGGACGTCTAGTCTTAATGGATCCACATGTAAACTTCTTTTTCAGTTTATGAATGGAATTTATGTTTGAACTTTTAGTGAACATATGCAAAAAAATAAAAAGGAGGCTTGGAAAAACTATGTTATCTATTCCCCTAGAAAAGGTACAAAAACTTGGAATGATTGCATTGTATGGCATTATTACATCAGAGCAGGAGAGCGCAAGATTAGGAGGCAAAAGAGAGCAAGATTAGGAAGAGGAATACAGATAGCAGAGTTGAATAACTTAGAAATCAGAAGGAACTTAGAAATTAAAAGAGCAATGCACTAAATGCAGAGGAAAAGAGGGACAAAGAAGCTGCAGAGAGAGCAGAAAGAGCAGGCAGGCTTCTTCATGCCATGGAACAGTTCTCTTCTTATCATCAAGGTATGCTTACTCTTACAAAAGAGGACAAAGCTTTTTTCTTATATACTTGGGTGTAATTCACTTAGCAATAAAAGGGTAGAAGGTTTTTGTTTCTCTATGCAATAAGGATTGGAGCCCTTTTTATATTCAGAATGAGTGAGTTCTTTCTGTGTCAGCACTTGGCCATTGGCTTCATATGCATATGTAAGTATGGATATGCATTTGTAAGTATGGAATTATAAATGTATAGCTGAGCCCAACTGCTTTGCCTGAAGAAATGAATTTGTATATAAGTGTATGTGAGTTTATGCATAATTGCTTGTGTAAAAGTTTTTTCTTCTGCAAATGTGACTGACACTCTTTTCCTGGTTCAATAAAAGTTTATTCTCCAAACCTCTCACTAGCCTGACAAAGGATCAAGGCTTCTATACAGGAGAGAAAAAATTCCTACAAATTAATCCTTTATTTTATCCCCCACTGTTAGGCTACAGGTGTTAGTCACCCAAGCCATCTGTTTTAAACTCTCAGAATGAGCAAGAAAGTTTTTAAGGATTTTTTAGAAGTTATCAACAAACATTTAGTGTTGTATATTTTGTCAAATACTACTTATGTTAATTAGGTCCCCCAAAGTACACAGGAATCTGCAAGTCTGCACATAAGATGCTGACGGATGCTGTTCCCAGTTGGTTTTGATTGGCAAATAAAATTGTTGGCAGCCAATGGCTAGGCAGGGAGACAGAGATGGAATTTTAGGATCCCCAGGCAAGGGACTGAGGAAGGAGCAGGAGGGATAGAACTGTGATAGCAGGAAAGGAGTGAAGACCAGGCCAGAGAAGGCAGGAGAGAGAGACAGCCAACATGTAAGAGCAGGGGAAGTGTCCCCAGTTACCCCCACCCCCACTCCATCTAGGGCAATAAAGATGGAATACAAATTTTAGTAAGTAATAACTCAGGAGTGTCAGAGGGATGTGTGTTAGCTGCATGGCATTTTGGAGTGCCCCGTCAATGTTTAAGGCATACTAAAATATAGTGTGTGTGTGTGTGTGTGTGTGTGTGTGTGTGTGTGCATGTGCTTCATTTGGGAAATCTAAACATTGGGGTGGGCAGCAAGGAACTCCTGTCACCACATGTGGGGATATTTGAGTAGGATTAATTGGCAAATTACAACAATTTAGGATAGTTAGAAAGTTGTAAGGCCAGAGACCATCAGTCTTTAAAGTTACCTCTGAGACCATCAGTCTTCAAAACTACATCCGGAGGCCATCAGTCCTTAAAGCTATCTCTATGTTCAACTATGTCCAGCTTTAATTACAGGCTGGGCAGACTCTTGGTAAATTTCAATATAAACAATTCGATTAACTAAAGCAGCATAGACTGTATTATGAAAGTAGAAATGTATAGTTAAAATATATAAATGAGTATATGTGCCAATCTAATTCATTCTTTCTTTTGGTTTGATCGAAAGTAGATTATTGGTAATGACTTGTTTAAAATCAAAATTGACTTTTCATGTCAGTCTCACCAATACAACGCGGTGGAGAGCTCCATTTTCCCATATGGCAGGTTACCCCATTTTCTTCAGATATCCTGAAACCATCATCACAGACATAGCTGATTGTTGTTCCGTGTTCATAACTGCTGGACTCTATTGCATCTCTCCTTTCTTCTGATGATCTGGGTAATTTAATAGATCCGTGTTCTATTTTAGGGGGCTGGGAACATGGAATTTTTGCTACATGAAGAACAAAAATGAAATAGTCAAGCAGAAATGAAATACTTACATTAAAAAATGAAATAAAGGACTTATTCTCCCACCTATGCCCAACAAGGCCACCCTCCTCTACATATACAGCTGGAGCCATGGGTCCCTCCATATGTGCTCCCAGGCTGGTGGTTTAGACCCTGTGAGCTCTGTTTGGTTGGTATTGTTGCTCTCGCCATGGGGCTGCAAACCCTTTCAGTTTATTCAGTCTTCTCTCTAACTTCTCCTTTGGGAACCCAGTGGGTGGGTGGGGGCACATCCTCATAGATACAGGAAGAGGGGGGATTGGATAGAGGGTTTCCCAGTGGGGTGGAAACGGATTAAGGGGCTAACATCTGAAATGTTATTAAATATCTAATAAAGAATTAATTAAATAAACAAACAACAAAAACAACAACAACAAAAACCCAAACTATTTGAATTATCTCTCCACAATATTTATAGTATGCCCTTTCAATACATATCCTTTCACCTGAGTTCTAATGTTGTAAAGTCATAGCTACTGACCAATGCAACGTGGCAATGACTGCCACCTTCCATCTTTGCAAATCATTTCTTCTGGGTCATGTGTTAGGTAATTGTCTTGGCAAAGAACAGATACTTTTTCTCCATCCAAGTATTTCACTGTGGTTTCAATCACTTGAGCATTTGGAATCTGTGGTGGAGGAGGGCAGGATATTTTCTCTATTCCTAGAAAATATAAAAAAATCAAGTATCTTAAATTATTAAAGTAATAATTTTCATTAAATAGTAAATTAATTGTGGCTATGTAGTAATTGTGGTCTGTATTTTATATATTTTACTTGTATAGCAATTTAGTACAGCAATTCTTGTTTTTTAAAAAGTTTTTTCTCATTCATTTTTAATGAGTTTTACATTATTTTATGAAATATATTTTAATTATTTCTAGCATTTATAATATAATACTTGAATTATACACTTAAATACATTAAGTTAAGGTTATATGAACATTTCTTTAGAGCTGTCTATGGATGTTTATGATCTAATATGTTGGATTATATTAAAAATCCTCATGAGATAGTTTACCAATGTAAGGTGATTTACAAAAGTGGTATCTACTTTCTAGTTAATGTATACTGGACAAAAATATAATATAATGACAAAATGTCTGACAATAGCACCTTGGGAAGGAAAGAAGGAAGGAAGGAAGGAAGGAAGGAAGGAAGGAAGGAAGGAAGGGAGTGAGGGAGGAAGGAAGGAAGGAAGGAAGGAAGGAAGGAAGGAAGGAAGGAAGGGCTTAATATAGCTCACTGTGCAGGTTAGCAATGCCAGCAGAAATGTGAAGGATATTGTATTCATAGTCAGGAAGCACAGAGAAATTAATGCTGATATTCAGGTCACCTTTTCGTTTTTATTTACTCCAGGATCTTTACTGATAAAATGTTGTTACCTACACTTATAGTGGATCTACACACCTCATTTAATCCAAACTAGAAATGTCCTCTTAGTCATGTTCAGAGATTCCTAGGGAATTGTAGATTTTGTCAAGTAAACAATAAGAATTATTCATCACTACAATAATCAATTTGATATTGGCTTTTGGTAAAAAAGAATATGGAGTATGTTCACAAATGGCACACACTTGTGTTTCATTCAGAAACACATGATGATTAAGCATAAGCATCAGAATGGCACAATACATTTGGTTTTTGTTATAAAAGAATTAAAAGTAATGGGACACTAATTGTAAGAGACCATTGGGACACAGAGGTGAATTCATGTTGATCAAGTTTGATTGAATGAGTGTTTTACATTACAGGTTACTCACAAATATAATATATTATTTTCTAAACCATTTTCCATATTTAAAAAGTATTTTTACAATATGTCATCTATAAGACTGTCTTCATACATGAAGAGGTATCTGCCTCCATGAAATCCCAAATTCATGCTCTCCTAAACAAGACCTGCAGGATGCAAATACTAGTTGATATGTCAACATAGATAAAGAAAATATTACAAGGCCTTTTCTTTAGATGAAAAGATACAGTTAATTAATGGCTATCTAGAAAGGGAGAATCAATCTTCTCAAGGCATGAATGAGCCAATAAACAGGTTGTCCAATCTCAAGAATTTAGCGTTAAACACAAAGACACACAGATACACAGACACAGACACAGACACACACACACACACACACACACACACACACACACACACACACATGAATGGAAGAGGGAGAGAGAGAAAACATAAACACAATTCACATATGAAATTCTTAAAAAAATTAATTTGCTTTAAGAACTCAAAGATCTTTTAGTTGTGAGTAAGAAAAGACAAAAATATTCACTACAAGACAGAGTAAATGAGTAAATGAGGGCTTACTTGTACAGGTTAGTTCAGGATCCCATCTTCCATTAATGCAGATTGAATATCCATACTTCTGCTTTCCTCTACATTTGTAACTGATGCTAGAGTTATGATTAAATTCACCCTTCTCAGGTTTATTTGCCACTACTACAACTAGTCTTGATGCTTGACACTTCTCAAGTTGATCTGTTGCTACATAAAAATATTTCCATGGAAAATAAAATCAATTTTCAGTCACATGAAAATTTATAACTAAATACTAAATTTGACATAATAAATAATAAACATTTACAGATTTTATTATTAATGTCTTGTCTGTTTACCTGTAGACATGCATCAAAATATAAGCAGTAAGTTTGGGTTTATAGTAAGACTAATCAATGACGATTACTAACTACAAAAATATGTATTAGGAAATACTTCTGCAATAAAAATATTAACTTTATGAATTGTTAATTTGAGCCATACAGACTTACCAACACATTGAGGAAGCTGGGTCCACCTCCCGCTAATGCAAGAAACTGTCCCCTGTCCAATCATGGTGAAGGTTTCTGCACAAGTAAACTCCACTGAATCTCCATGGTGATATGGAGGGACAGAAAACTTAACAGAGCCATGCTGAAGCTCAGGAATGTCTTTACATGTTCTCTCCTCCTCTGTAGGTATTCACATGAGTTACTTATAATTAAAGCATCTCACAAGATGCAAAATGATTTTTAAGTATTAATACTTTTAATTACCAACACATATTGGCAAGGTTGTCCACTTCCCGTCAACACACTCGATTTTACTGGGTCCCTTCAGTAGAAATTTAGGTTTGCAATCGTATTCCACCACCTCACCATGGCTGTATTCTACTTTTTTTGATCCCTTCATTTTCCCATTGAGTAGTTCAGGATGTTGATCACAGGATCTTACTTGACCTATTGCAGAAATACTGTGTAACTATACATCCATCTTACAGTCCAAAACTCTAGTAAATGGAGAAATTTAAGTCATTATTCACAACATCACTTTTAATAACACTTTATAAATAAAAAGTATTTACACTAGACTCACATATCACAGTTGTAATACACTTATTGCAATAACATTGCATTGACGGTGGAACAATGCTTGCTAAACTTGATACATGCAAATCATTCAGTAACTGAGTTGTGTCAATTATAGGGATTGTCACTTTCTCCATCAGTATTTGAACATACAATTATTACCCTGTAAAAAAATATAAGCACTGTAGAAAGTGTCTAATCGATCTGTTTTAATTTGTTTAATACCTGCTATTGAATTAATTAAAATATTCTTAAATACTCTTTGAACTTTATGCAATGTGAAATTATGTATACGCTTAGAAAATATCAGCATTAATGGTAATGTAGATAAAATGAAAGAAGTGTCTTCTGGCTCATTTGTTATGTCTGCATGCGTAAACACATTGCTAACATATTTTAAGAAGCAACTGAGCCTAGTATTAACCTTGTAAATAAGTAACTGTATATTAGCCACACAACACAGGGCCTTTGTTGACGTCTATATCTCTGAATTTGCTTTAGACTATAGACATACTATGAAACTGAGAAATATTAATAGAAGGAAAATTAACTTGTGAATCTAATTGAAAAAGTATAAAGCAGAGACTGACCTTTACATGTAGGGAAACTAGGGGACCATCCAAACTGGTAGCATTGCACTGAATCTGGTCCAACTCTGTGTCCTGGTCGGCAAGAGAATTTCAACAAATCTCCAATTGTATATTTTTCTTTCTTGGGATAAACAACTAAGCTTGGATCTAATATGGGAATGCTGCATTCTATTTCTTGAAAAGTAAGATAATTAGAATATACAATTAGTCATTGATAAGTAGGCTTATTTCTCTCAAGTACATTCATGGACATAAGTAACTGTCTTCCTCATGAAAAATTCTGCATATTAAGTTTAATATAGTCTCTAAATCAATATGAAGCTGTCTGAGAAATGTAAGATGGTACAATATTAGTTATAAAATTAATTATTAAAATCAACTTATTTTTACTGAATCTGATTTGTTACAGAGAATTATCAAACTTAAAGTAATATGTCTCCTAAACTCACAGTACAAAATTATTTTCTTCATATCTAAAATTAGTGCCATCATATATCTAAATCACATATTAAAATTTATTTTTGTTGTATACTGAGAAAGTAGATCACATAATTTAGTTCTCATGCATCTGAAGTTAGGAAAGTGTAATTAATCTATTTTAAGTTAAAAATGAAAAAAATGTGCAGGCATTTACATTAAACTACTTTTGTATTTCCAATTCTTATTAGTAACTAATTGCCAAGTATTCTGAATCAAAATAGGAATATGCAAAAGTCTTCATTACAATAAAATTTTCTTCATTTTTTTGGGGCACTTTTGGAGGGTTGCCAAAAGGTAAACAAACAAACAATCAAACAAACATAGTTAAAAACTATTTTTCTTTGAAATTTTCTTTCTTTGCTAATTTAGAAATTCTAAATTAGAATTTTAAAATTAAGGTGAGACATAAAATGTAATTCATTCTTTCAAAACTCAAGTGTTAGTATATAAACAGAAAGAGATTTGAAAGACATGCTTTATAACTAGAATCTAAATAACTAAAAGCACTTTCTTTGAGTCTTCCAATAGAACTAAGAGGAATAGTTTTGGCTAGGTTTCTAGGACTCTCTGACAATTCTTTCCAGGTGGTACCTTTCTTTTAATATTAAGTCTTAGATTAATGGAAAAATATCATACTGAAAACTTACCGCAATTATTCTATAAAACTATTATGGTCTTCTATAGCCATTGTCATATTTCTTTCTGTTCATATTTATGTATTTTTTTGCTTATTTTACACAAATTCTTTTATTAACATATGGTCACAGTCTACCTTCACTTGAATAAAATTCATCTTTCCTGTGGACTCTAACACAGCAACTATAACTTATGAGACGTAATTTAATGACCTGTGTGAGCTGATGTAAACTTTGAGAATGTTTTTCTTTGAAAGGCTAGCTCCTAGTGCTTATGTATGGAAATGTGAGTATCAATGTACATTCTTTGGTGTATTGTTTTAAAGTTTTCTAAAAATACTACTCAGCTTAAGTGGACTTGATTTTGAGGAAACGGGTAATAAATATGATGAAGAGGAGGAGGACAATGATGATGGTGATAAAAATATTATTAATAATAATAGTTTGGTCACATCTCATTACAATGGAAAAACTCCCAGATCATTTGAAATAAGCCTGGATAGTGTTAAATCTTGTCCAGTTCTCTGCTGCATGGTTGAGGCTGGATCACTTGACCACCAATCTGCCATCCTTCATTCAATTTTTACAAACTTATATTGTGCTGATAGGTTTCTATGTGTTCACATTGTCATTAGTCTTCATTAAATTTGGAACAGAACACTTTTTATCGTCTCACATCAGTTTGTACTGTTTTCTCATTCACTCCATTTCCTCTCCTCTTGTTAACTTTTGCCTGTCAGACCTGGAGACATTGAAAAGTCTGCGAATTTGTTGGATAACAGTTTCTTTGAGATTGAAATATTCCATCCTTCTGGGAAGCAACTTAAGCTGGAAGGTAAACAAATCAAAACAGCTTTAGGGAGTCCTTAAAACTGACCAGATTCAGCAGACCCCTCCTTTCTAGAATAAACATGTTAGCTAGGTTGCTGAGAGTCACTCTTAGATAAGCAAAGCTGCAAAGAAGACTCTCAGACCACCCTAGATGCAAAAAGAAAAGACTGAGATCATACAAGCTGCTTGAAAGAATCAAGAACTTTTCCAGCTTTCTCGAAGGGGTTACTTGAAAAAGACACTCTCCAATATATTTTTCCAGTTGTGCAATATGCTCCACCATCCCAGCTTTTTTGAACTGTCAACTATGCTAAGTGGACTTTGGTGAAAGCTGTCTTTGAGTGATTTCTGTTTCTATACTTAAACTTTCACCCATATTTCTATAAGTAACCCAATAAAAGTCATGTATCACAAAGTTGGACTTTGGTGATAGCTGTATTTTGGTCTTTATGACCTCATGTGGGGAGATGCTGCTACTTTAAGTCTCAGTCTACTATGTCTGGATAACTCTTTTGATGTTGCTGCAATAGACAACTCTATTTTCCAACATGGCTTCCCTCTCACCTTGTCTGGGGAGCCCAGTGCACCAAAGGCTCTACCTGGGGAAGCTTGAATAGTCCTTGGCAGACCTACAAGTTGAACTTCCTTTTCCCTGATGAGAACTCACCCAGTAAGTACCTGCGTTTCCTGGGGTGCCTCTCAATACAAATGAGGCATTTGCAGAATGTGACAATCACCTTGAAAAGTCCTTTCTACTCTCCAAGGTTCATATATAACCCTTATCCACACTGAATAATGTGGACGCTTACAAACCCAACTCGAACAAAGGTACGTGCACAAGATAAGGTAGTCTAAGAGATTTGTTTCATCAAAATCCTCAGAGAAAGCCTTCTCTTCCCATGCATTCACTTCCAGCTAGACTGCAGACCTCACTGATTCCTGTCTGCATTTCATCCTTCCAGCCTGGTGTGCAGTGGTGCCTGGACACTCTAAGTGAGGAATCTGAGGATAGGAACCATTGGCTCCCTAATTCGGGTCTGTAAACACTTGTATATCATCTCCATTGGAAAGGATTTGTTACCCAACAGGATTGCATGTAACTACTTTCTGTTTTGATATTGTACTGGCTAGTTTTGTGTCAACTCGACACAAGCTGGAGTTATCACATAGAAAGGAGCTTACATTGAGGAAATACTTCCATGAGATCCAGCTGTAAGGACTTTTCTCAATTAGTGATTGAGGCAAGAGGGCCCACTGTGAGTGGTGCCATCCCTGGGCTAGTAGTTTTGGGTCCTATCAGAAAGTAAGCTGAGCAAGGCAGAGGAAGCAAGCCAGTAACATCCCTCCGTGGCCTCTGCATCAGCTCCTGCTTTCTGACCTGCTTGAGTTCCAGTCCTGACTTCTTTTGGTGATCAACAACAGTGTGGAAAGTCTAAGCTAAATAAACTCTTTCCTTCCCTTGCTTATTGTTCATGACGTTTGTGCAGGAATCGAAACCCCGACTAAGATAATCATTTCATATTTGTAATGCTAAGATTGACTTTAAGTCTACTACATGGAGTAACCACTTATTGTCGAACTGAACTAATAGCTCTCCCCTTGTGCTCTATTTTAGTGTTGCATTGTATTATAGAAAACCCCGATTTCATAGTCTTGAACTACTTATAATCAGAAAGAAATTAATGGTCACTATTTACTTATTTTGAGTTTTGATTTTAAATTGGGGATCACTTGTTTCCCTTGTTTGTTCCCGTTGTTTGTTCATAATTGGTCTTCCTATGTAGCCCAGACTGGTCTGGAGTTCAAGACTCTCTCTCTCTCTCTCTCTCTCTCTCTCTCTCTCCCTCTCCCTCTCCCTCTCCCTCTCCCTCTCCCCCTCCCTCCCTCCCTCCCTCCCTCCCTCCCTCCCTCCCTCCCTGCCTCCCTGCCTCCCTGCCTCCCTGCCTCCCTGCCTCCCTCCTCCTCCCCCTCCTCCTCCCTCCCCCTCCCCTCCTCTCTCTCTCTCTCTCTCTCTCTCTCTCTCTCTCTCTCTCTCTCTTTCTCCCTTCCCCCCTCTCTCCTCCATAAACACACACATGCATGTATGTGCACATACAGGATAGATAAATGAATATAATGAATAATAAAACAAAGTACTATCACTTTTAGTCTTCATGACCAGTCTTTTTCCAAGTTTATATTAAATCAGAGGCAGATTCTAGAAAACTCATTGTCAAGTAACACATAAATACATTGTTTTGTAAAATAAAATTCTAGACAAGATAGTACTCACCATAACATGAGGGCTTATCAGACCATCCCTCATGAGTACAAGTTATGGAGCCTTTGGTATGCTTATATTTATTTTCATATCCAACGTGACATTCATAGTCCAATTTGTCATTGAGTTTAAACCAAGTGCTATTATTTTTAGATTTTGTATTCTCAAACACAGGTACATCACAAGACTCTGATTAAAAAAAATTGAAAATTTTATTTCTAATGTATCAATGTACAATCTGAGTAATTCCCATGAGAACAAAAGTCTATATAGATTAATATATGATAATCAAAAGATGTTCGGGTTGATTTTCTATGAGGGAGGGAGATGTTCTGAGATGGACCTTAACTCAGAGTGTCAAACACATAATGTTATCACATACTCAGGGATTTATAACATCAACATATATCTCCATTGGAAACTTTATATATTGAAGCAATTCTTTGGTGAGTGAGAAGGAAGATCTTTAAAATAGGCAGCAGGTCATAGAATCTTTCTCAAGGCTAAAACTTATGTGATAATTTTAAGGCTTTGAGAAGAGAAATAGACTGATAGTCTCCCATACAAGAATGCCTCCACAAGGAAAAACAAATAGTCACATATATTTTTGCTTGAAGTCTAATACTTATCTTTCAAATGCAATAATATCAATCACTTCAAAGGATAATAAAGCTAAACATTTATATGGTATCAATATAATGGCAAAAATATAATGAAATACTCACTAATGCATGAGGGTTGAGCTGACCATCCATTTTGTAGGCAAGTAATTGAGCCAGATGCTTCTCCATTTGTTGTTATATATCCCTGTTTACACCTATATTGTGTTGTTTTATTTACAACATAAGTTAAATCAGATTCAGAAAAAAATCCATTATCAATTTCTATATCTGACTTTGAGCACATCTCTAAAGGGAGAAACATGAGAAAAACATAAGTGCATATACAGGAGCTTAAAGATTCAGAATATGAAAATATATTTTAAAAATGCAATAGTCATTTTTGCAAGAAGACCTGAAATAATAAAAAATATTCACATTACTGGACCAAGAAAAACAACTCATAGGTTTAAAGATTAACAATGCATGACTTAAATTAATCATACATATTACATGTTTTTTGGGTCAAGTGGATTCATAATCCTACAGAATGTCAGAAAATTCTAAAGTATGGGTGGGTTATTTAAACATGAGTATAAATTGGCTTTCTAATATGTGTCAGACATATTTATCCAATTAGGTTTGCCGAGGTTGGGTGATGATCTTGGAAAATCTAATCACATAGGTGCTACAGATACCAGTACTAAGAATTTGGAATGTCATAGTGACTACATACCTAAAATCAATGTGTGCTAAAAGTTCAAAGAAATTCAGAACAGAAAAAAATAACAGAACACGTACCATCAAATCACCTATCTGCCAAGTCCCCCTGAGGCATGCCCAGCAGCAGTGAGCTGTGACCTCTCCCAAGAATTCCATTTTGAGACCCAGGGTTCTGCCTATACTTATGGTTACCATGGACAACCAGACGGCTAAAGCTCAGCTTAAGCACACACCAGAAAGAGACAGGGGACTATCTCAACCACAGCCCAGCAATACTATTACAGCAAGCCCTCAATATCCTAACACAGCTGAAGCACAAGACAATGATTTTAAATCCAATCTTATGAAGATGATAGAGGCCTTCAAAAAGAAAATGAATAAATCCCTTAAAGATATACAAGAAATTATAGACAAAGAAAGGAAATTAATAAAATTGATCAATACCTGAAAATGGAAATAGAAGCAATAATGAAAACACAAAATCAGGGAATCCTTTATTTGGAAACTTAGATAAGAGAATAGAAACCACTATTCTCTCTGTACTTATTCATATAGTACTTGGAGTTGTAGCTAGAGAAAAAAGACAACCGAAGGGGCTCATGGGGATACAAATTGGAAAGGAAGAAGTCAAAGTAGCACGATTTGCAGATAATATGATAGTATATGTAAGTGAATCCAAAAATTCTATGAGAGAACTCCTACAGCTGCTAAACACCTTTAGCAAAGGGACTGGATGAAAAAATTATCAACAACAACATCAAAATTCAGTAGCCCTCCTTTATACAAGCAATAAATGGGCAGAGAAAGAAATGGAGAAAACAACACTCTTTACAATAGCCACAAATTATATAAAATATCTTTGTGTAATGTCACTGAACAAAGAAACTAAAGAAGATAGCAGAAAAATGGAAAGATCTCCTAGGCTCATGGATTGGCAGAATTAACAGTAAAAATTCCCATCTTACCAAAAGCAATCTACAGATTCAGTGCAATTCCTATCAAAATTCCAAAACAATACTTTTCAAATCTTGAAAGAACAATACTCAACTTAATATGGAAAATTAACAACCCAGGATTGCTAAAACAATCCTGTATAATAAAAAAACTTCTGGACCTGTCACCATCCCTGATTTCAAGCTATTCTACAGAGCAATAGTAATCAAAACTGCATACTTATTGGCATGAAAACATGCAGGTTCTTCAGTGAAATCATGTCAAAGATCAAGAAGTAAAACCACACTCTTACAAACCCTTGATTTTTGGTGAAGAAGCCAAACCTACACATGTGAAAAAGAAAGAATTTTCAACAAATGGTCTAACTGGGTGTCTACATGTAGAATGCAGATAGATTCATATCTATCAACCTGTACAAAATCCAAGTACAAATGAATTAAGATCTCAACATAAAAACCGATACATCAAATACGATAGAAGAGAAAGTGAAGAATGGCCTGCAATCCACTGACACAAGAGACGACTTCCTGAACAGGACACCAACAGCTCAGATACCAAGATCAACAATTAATAAATAGAATCTCATGAAATTGAATATCTTCTGTAAGGCAGAGAGCACTGTTAAAACAATAATCTTAATATAAATGTAATAGTTGATTAATCTGGCCACTGTATTTCTTTACCTTATGTTATTCCCTAGTAACCACATAGAACAAATAAGATCTATTCAAAATTGCATAGCTAAGCAGTTAAATAATCTACCTTTACCTCCTATGCTAATCTGGCTATCTCTCAGGCTCTTCCCTTGATATTTGCATATTTTTACTTACATGGATTTTCAGACCCTTTCCTTATGGCTCCAAATTCTCCATCCTGCCACTGATCTGTCTCCCCCTTCCTCCTCTCTCTTTCCTCTTCTGGCAGATATCCCACTATATTCTCTGTTCTGCCTAGCCATTGGGTATTCAGAATTTATTGACAAGGTAAAGAATAAATGGTAAGAACTATTTATACAAACTTGAGAAAGGAGATTTTCTCTCTTTCCTCTTCTGGCAGATGTCCCACCATGTTGTCTATTCTGCCCATCCATTGAGTGATCAGTATATATTGACATGGCAGAGAATAAATGCTAAAAACTGTTTATACAAATTTGAGACAGAAGATTCTTGACATAATCATTACAATGCTTTATCCCTCTTGAAACAAAATATGATGGGAGAAAAATTGGAATTTGAATCACTCAAGAGTAAACTTTACACAGAATACAAAACATTATGCATACAGGACACCATCAATAGGACAAAGCAACAGCCTACAGAAGAGAAAAATGAAGAAGAAAATAAACATGGTGTAGAACTTTGTAGATATCCTCAGCCATCTTCCAGCTTGTTTGCTTAGATGCAGATACAGGTCACAGCACAGTATAACCCCTTTTGATCCAGAAGAACATGAGAAGAAACACTACCTTAAACAGTAAGGTTAAAGATTCCAAGCACACAAAAAATGTTAGATATTCAATGTGGAAGAGTAAAAGATTCCTTTGATCACCTTCATATTTTAGAAAGTACCCAGAAGTTTATCCATATTCGAAACACACTAATTAGAAAGAAAAGGCTTCGTAAACTAGTCTAATAAAATATCAAAGGGAATGCAATGATCAATGTCATACTTCCAATCCCACAGGTTTCTAGTCTCAAGCACTGGCTGCAAGAGTTCCATCACAGCATTGTTGCTTTTTTCAAATGACTGCCATAGAGGTTAAAGAAAATGCATTATGGCAGCACCTTTCCCCTTGAAGAAAAAAAATATCCAAGAAACTCATTTGGTGATGCTCAAAACCCACAGCAGCCAAATATCAATGGTTAAATCAAAACCACACACACAAATCCATGAGATGACAACTGGGAGCATGGAGGAAGCTGGATGCAATATGGACCCACATCAGTAACCTGAGACACAGTTAAGACATTAGAAATAATGCTGAAATTAAAATAAAGTGAATATTTGCTGTGGTGGTCATATCCTGAACTGAAATAATGGATCAGGGATATAAAAGGAATTATGTCCACAACAAATAAACACATTCTTACATAATATGACCTTTAAACTATACTGTAAAATGTTCCTAAATTAACAAATTTTAAACAGATTTAGTAGACCAAAAGTAGAGATGGATCGGCAGTGTTGGGAATTATATCCTTATACTTTTAAACCTATTTTTAAAAAACACAATTGTGGAATATTACATAGACTCATGTCAGGGTTTTTTTTTCTGAATGGAAAAATATTTATTGAGGTACCTGTTAATTAAGACAGGTACTAACTGATTATTTGATAGTGAAGTTTTCCAAGGATTTGTTACTAATTTTCTCCAACAGATATATGTCCAGATGATCAGTGTATCGACACAGAACATACACATTGCCTGTAAAGACATGTCTCATTTCTTACTTATGAAGACCTATTTGGGATGGCTTTTGACAGCATATTTCTACACTTCTCTGCCCTCATGGTTCTTGAAGCTTTGGGAAAGTGCAAAGACGCTCCCATTGTGAAGGTTAGTAATCTCACACTCAGCTACATCCTGTTGATTTCTTTCACATTCTGCTACTTCTGTTCCTTGCTCTTTATCAGTTATCACAACATGGCCATATGCAACCTGCAGCAAACTACATTAGGTGTTATCTTCACAGTAGCTATTCCTACTGTGATGGCCAAGGCAAGTACAGTGTGTGGCTCCACTTTCAAGTTTACTATTCCAAAATAATGATGAGAAAGTTTCTAGTAAAAGGAGTACCTAATTTTGTTATTCCTATTTGTAATTTTTAACTTATTAAATTAACTGACAAGACTCATGTCAATTAGTTTTACAAAAATTAATAGAATTAGTAAAAGGCATAGACAACTCATTAAGAAAAAATAGATACCACAAACACAGTTGCTTTGATGTGGAAATCATGCAATATCTATGTATCTACAGTATACACACAGTAACATTTTCTTGCCTATAACATAAAGTGCTACAAGAATTCAAAGATCAAACTAAATTCACATCTATATAATACTTAACAGAAGAAAAATTCAGTTATACTATATTCATTGCCTCCAAATTGATCCCAGGAAGACAAACATTACATATGAAAACATTTACTCTGAAAATTACATGGTAAGGGACCCTAGCAGCAGGACACTTTTCAAAATTCTTGATGATCTAGATAGTTTAAACATAATATAAACAATGTGTTGATGAATAAAAATTTTACAATTCTCTATATATTTCTATAACCTATACTATTCTTTATTATTTAAAAGTTTAACTGAAATTGATTAAAATGGGAATTGAAAGCCTAATATATTAAAAGATTGTAAGTCTTTTATAGTGCAGTACTCACAAAGGAAACCTGTTGGTAAATGTAGAAACACACAGAGCAGTGGAAGAGAACACAAAGTCAACCATCATATACACACAGGATTAGAACTCATTTAACAAGAATTAATGTGAGCTACATAGTGGAATATAGTCTTTTCTCAAAAAGAAAATCAATGCTTAGATATTCAAATGTAAAATAATTAGCTTAACCTTATTTCTAACACTCATATAAAATAGATACCAAAATGATCAAAACCTAAATATAAAATATAAACTTCTAGATAAACATCTACTTTTGTCTTAGGCAAAGACATTTTTTGATGACACAAAATGACAAAAAAGTGAGGAAATTTTGATATGTTAAATAGTGTGAGAATGAAAAATTGCTACCATTTACAAAAAGTGCCTCAGCTAGAGGTGGTACATTGAGCCTTTCTCTCTAGTCCATGCTGGGATTTGACTGGTTTGAGTTTGAGAAGATTTTGCATAAGAGGTCACAGTGAGACAGAGACACAGAGGAAGGGATGACCATTGTCCAGTGGTTCAACACACAACCTCAAGGGGTTTTTGTTGTTATTTTCTTTGTTTTGTACTGTATTGTTTTTATGAACAAAATGTTTGTAGGTAGGGACAGGGGAATATACAGAACAAGCTGGGGAAGAGATAGATATGGGCAAACTACGTGATATTAGCAAAGATCTAGTAAAAATGTGAAAGGTAAGAAGGAGACATTTGTCTTGCAAGACTGATAGTTTGAAAATAGAGCTGTAAATGTAAGGAAATCCTCTTGAAGAACACTAGCCTGCAAAAAGCCAACAGGCACAATATACTAAGTTCAGGGAATCATATAGCTTGCAAATCATCCTTATATCATGGCAGCCACTATTGAATTTGGTTTTAATAAGTGCATAAAATGTCTGATTTCTTGAACTAAACTTGTCTCAGCTTCAGTTTTGCTGAGACCCCTCCAACACTGCCTAGTTTTAATTTCCACCAGCCATTTTAAGAATTCCTGGTTTGTTAAGCAAGTCCTGGAACCTATAATTAAGTAGTCTCAAAATTCATTTAAAAATCAAACAAATAACAAAGATAAAATGAACAAAGCTTTGAAGAACCTTTTTCAGATAAAATGTGCAATGGTGGATGAGCTGTAAAAGGAAAGGATGTTGTTCTTAAGCTTTGTTCCTTGAGACATGAGATATGACCACTAAGGGCTTATAATCCCATGATAACAAGAAAGATAATTTCCCATAGTTTTCATATGTGAATATAGAAATTACAGTTGCAGAAAACTAACATACATCTACTATTGATCTAGCAAATCATTTCTGCCAAGGAGGAATGAAACATGTAAAGCTTTCCACAGGTTTCAAGCTTGCCTACAACAATGACCTGCATACCAAGACATTGCTAAGGGTGCAATAATGGAACTTATATATCTGTGGCAACCAATAGCTTGATAATTAGACCTAAGTCCGAAACAATAAGTAGGAACTTGTGCCTGATACTAGAAACCTAACCAACTTCCCTAAAGGAAAACCTATTACTGCCACTTTGCTAAACCAATGCAATTTCTAAAATTATTGTAAATATGTATTCTTACATATACAGTTACGTGCTGCTCCCATGCCTCACCAAAGAAGCTTATGTTTTTGTAGTTAATGGAGATTAATATAGAAATATATAACAGGTCAAAAATGGAGAGAACTACTATCTCTAGAATGAACAATACCAGTCAATTTTTCCACAAGTTAACCTCTACACCAAAGGCTTAGGGATCTCCGGAGAGGTAGGTACAAAAAGGATTATGAGAGCCAGAGAACCAGCTTGTCTGCTATGAGATAGTACACATACATATATTTATATATGAATGACAGGGAAACATTACCCATGAAATCACAGAGTTATGATTGTTTAAATAAATTCAGCACAATACCAATTGTCATGCCAAAGCATTTAAAGACATTATCACAGTCACTGCCCCTAGCTGAAGAGGAATAAATAATCAATACTTTCTGGGAGAGGAAAATCAATCTTTTCTAAGAATAAGTATCTCTGATAAGTTATCCTATTCCAAGTGATTATGCATAAACACAAGTACATTCAAGCAGCACTAAGTGGACTTAGAAGGTTGTACAAGTATGCACACGTGCACGTGCACGTGAGTGTGTGTGTGTGTGTGTGTGTGAGTCTGTGTGTGTGCAATTATAGAAGTAGAGGTCAAGAAGATAAGAAAAGAGGAAAAGAAGGAAGAAGATGGGAGGAGAGATTATAAAATGATGCGTTTTCCAAAAGGTAACAAAACACTCAACTCTGAGCAAAGAAGCTTCTATTCAAAGAAGAGTTCATTTGAGACTGATACCTACAAGTGATCAGCTTGCAGAGACAAGAGACTGAAATATTCTATGCTGCATATAATATATTTGTCAGCATTATCTCCTTCCAAGTCTCAAGAAACATCGAAGAAAAATGGGTAGAAATCATACAACATCCAAAAAATGTAGATGACTATGAGAAAGCAGTATTTCCAGACCGAGCAAAGAAGAAGAATATATGAATTCAGAGGGTAGTGGTAGTATGCCCAGGCCTGAACAAAGCCAAGGTAGAACAATTCCAGCACAATGAGGGAAGGTGGGCACAGAATCCCATGCTAGCTGAGGGGCTATTAGCAATTAACAGCTCTAAATAAAGGGAGAATAATTTTTTCATGGTAAATGGAGTCACTGTCGATTGTAATACCACAAATACAAGAATAAAAATACATCACAATTGGATTTCATCCATTGGTTTAAAGGGGAAAAAAACAACAAAGGAATGAAAAATGACAAAATATTGGGTAAGAGAAAAGGGATACCTTAGAGAAGGATAATCTCAGAAAATTAAAATTATTTTTAAAGTGTCAAAGCATAAGCACTTAATGTTAAAATACTCATACCAGAAATTACTAGAAACTTATACAGTGAACCAGGTTATGCAAGAAAATATTCAAAAATTTGCAAGTAATTGTATCTTAGATAAGTAAATGATAATAATATTAATTATACAGTAAAACATCCAATCAAAAAGGGATTTTGGACATAATTGTTGTTATTAGTCCACTAGGAAAATAAAATTAAAGTAGAATACTATGTTCCTTAGCTGGTATATTTAGAAATTTTAGAGGGAAACAAGTCCACTGGAAGTGTGCTCATTGCTGCCATGGATGCAAAATTATCCTAACATCCAGAAAATCCACATACCAGATTCTCACAGCAATAATTCTCAATTTCAGTTTTAGAAGCTGATCTAAGATTATTTTATAAATTCAAATGCAATGACTTATTTTCAAAAGTTCATAAATAGATCATGCAATTGACAAAATTTAAAATATCCAAAGTATTCATAAATGGCATAGATACCTTAATTATTTTATAACTATATGAACATAAATCTTTCCACAATAAAGATCAGTTATTATACAAGTCATAGCATGGCAGAATGACATGAATATTTTCCTGAAAAGTAGTAGAATTCACTTAGAAAACATAATATATAAACATATTGATATCATATATTAAAGAAACACAACACTACAATAACAAACAGAAAAGTTATTATGCAGCCTCGTGGAGCTGATCAGAGACTGGAGTGGAAGAGAACAAGAAAAATTCCTAAAAAGAACAAAAGCACACTCATTTGTCAATGGCTTTGACATGAAATAAGCTGATTCCTAAATAAAAATCATTTTCAAAGACGAATCCTTAGAAACTGAGCATAAAAATGTCAGTTGTTTCAAAGTCTTGATGATGTACTTGAAGTAAGAAATACAAAGCAATCTACCTGGATAGGTCATAAAAAAGTAAAAACCTGCAGAAATACGAAAAAAAAAGTACCACAGTATGTTCATATGGATCATCCCAATTAACAAAGACCATATAAAGAATATATAAAATTAAGAACATGAACTAAACTACCATGAAGAAAACTATCATATAATAACTTAGTACAAAATTTAAACAGTTCATTATTATTAATTATATAAAATATTAAGTCACCAAAGGTGAAAATTTTTAGATACAAATACAAAATCACCAAGTTATCTCAAAAGAATAAAGTTAAGAAAAATTTCAAAAGAGAAAAATGGTACAATAAATGTACTTGATGAAAACTCAAAAGCATATTCAAATTTTAAAGACGTACCATGTTCCTATATGAGTCAATGCTATTATACAATTATTTACTTTAAAGTTGTTTAGAAAATTGAAGAAGTTAATCAAATTTAACCAAGATTATTTTAAAAGAGTTGGCAATTTTAATTATAAGCAAAGAACACATTTATTATATTTATAACTCAGAAATTGATTGTCAAAAGCCTTAATATCCTAGCCATTAATTATAAATGTATGGATTAGAAAAAATGAATTTGAAAAATTAAAATGAATAACTTCAAATTGACCTAAGACTTCTTTTCTTAAAACCCAAACTATAATGAAATGAATGAACACAAAATTCATTGTGTTATATTTATAGATATTTACTTTGAAAATAAAATATATCATGTATAATACCCATTTTCCACATAATGAAAAACATATTCCTCTAAGGATCACATATGTGCAAAAATCATAAATATAAAAATAATTAAAAATGCCTTTAATTTAAACTAACTTAAAATTTATCTTTATAATCACTTACTAGCATACATAACATTCAAAAATAAAGCTAATTGTCAAAAAGATTAGCATTTATCTTTAGTTTTCATAAATAGAATATGCAAGTGATGCAAGCATTTTCATAATCCCTACTTTTGATGTTCATTTCATGTAAGCTGCTTTCAAAGACAGTTTGATTATCTTTGCTCACAAACTGCTAGTCTTTTTTCACGAGAAACTTAACTGTAAGTATGTGTCTACTCTTCTCTTACTCTTTGTTAGAGTTAAACATGATTTATTATACACATTGACTTACTGAGGCATGGGACTGCAGGCTGCCATCCTTGTATTGTGCAACGGAGGTAGCCTGAGTGTGACCCTGAAGGAGTCACAAATCCACTGTTGCAGTAATAGCGAAACTCCTTTCCTGTAGAGACTGGCTGGTAGAGTGTGTATATCTCTTCTCCAAATAGATGTCCATTTTCAATTTGTGATAAATTACAAGGTTTTACTTGCAGCAAACAGACAGAAAAACATTAATATTATAGATAAACTTCTTAATCAGTAAGTTACTTTCTATTAATTAAAATAACTACATGAGAAGATATGGAGTCTGGGACAAGGAAATAAATAGAATTCAGACAACTGGACAAGGAAATAAATAGAGTTCAAACAACTGGACAAGGAAATAAATAGAATTCAAACAACTGGACAAGGAAATAAGAAGAATTCAGACAATCAAAGTATGTAAGAATGTCTTTTTCCATGAAAGTAAGTTATACCTGAAACCTGTCCAGAAAAGTGGATCAAAGATATTTGTTAATATCCAATATATTAACTATTTATTTAAATCTGAAATTTAATATGATTACATCATAGTGATTTATTCTTGTACCTTTATATTGTTCATTGTAGTAATGACTTTATAAGTAATATTAATTTATTTTTTTCCATTTCATATTCTTCTTTGTAAATGATTAGTACTCAAAATATTATAATATTATTATTCTTTCCATGAAAGTACGACTCTACTTCAGGGAACCTCATGTGCATGCTAAAATTATTCTAGCAAATCCCAATAAAAGCACATACTTTTCCTTATTCATTATTTTTGATGCTTTATAAAAGCGTCAAAAATATTCTATATATTTGGTACATGGTGAATACTGTTAAATTCGTTTTATTATAAATGCTCTTTATCAAATTGGAGAAATACTTTTTATAGCACACCAATAAATTAAATTAGCTCACTGAAATTTCTTTTGAAAGGATGCCAAATAGATGCATCGTTTAAAGTAGGAATATCATTATTACCATCGTTCTCCAGCTCTAGGTTAATCCTCATTTTCATGTGGAAATTCCACTGTAAAATGACTCAAATTCAGACATATTAAGGCCACAGATAGTTCAAATATATTTGGACAGAACAATGCTATGAACATTCCACTACAGCTGGTTTGATGTTTACTGCACTACGCAAATTCCTCATTTGCATGTGGGCACTGGTGAATCTGTATTTTTCAACTTTATAGGTGATTCCTCAAAACAATATTCCTTAAAGTGAAGGATCAGTCTCGATGGTCAGGACTTAAGGCAGCCTCATATGACATCTTACAGTTTTCCAGAACCTGGTCATGTCCCCATCAGCAGTGATGGTTTTTTCATTTCAGTGTTGATTCAGGCTACTCAAAAGGTTGATTAATATATTCACTAATTTTACAACTCTTTTAAGTAACTACTCACGCAGCTCCCTTTTTGACCTACCCCTGGAACTTATAGTTATCACTACTAAATTTCATCCTACTACAGATTCAACATGGCACAAAAGATCTGTCCTAATGAAGACATTATCCCTTAATGATTAATAATAATATTAATTATTAATAATTATTAATAATTATTATTAATTATTATTAATTAATTATTGTAATCATTATCCCTTAAATTATTCTAGTTTTGAATTCATACTGTCCTTTCCCCAAGTAGTAAAACATTTGATGAAAGAAAAGAGCAATTGAATAATACTGAGAAAAAAAGCACTATACATGTTAAATATAATAAGTTATTTAATTAAATTGTAGAGAGACTAATTGCCTTCATGTATTAAGGCCTTGGACAGTCCAGATATATTTGGGCAGAATAATGTTGTGGGCATTGTTGAGTTCGGTGCTCATTGCACTACACAAATTCTACAGCTGTAATTCCAAACCTATTCATAAGTCCATTTCTGAGTGTCATTAGATCGAAGAAGAGGAACTTAATTCTTCTATTAAGAAGATGTGACATAAGATTGAACAATACTCTAAATATATGTGTATATTTATATACAATCAACAGCCTCCACATTAGTCAGAAAAGCATCTCTTTTCCAGTAAAGTATGATGAAAGTAGACATTTATTTGGAGAAGGATGTTCTGGTACTGCTTGTATTCAGATGCTAAACTCTGTATCCCAGGGTCTGGTTACTCCAAGAGGAGCAGATCTTCACATATACCATCTTTTGCTGTGTAAATCTTGACCCCTGTCTAATAAAGATACTTATAGCCTGGGCTGGGCAAAAGAGAGGGGACAGAGCAAAGTTTCAGTAACTTGTAGGGCTTGGAAATAGAAACAAGGAAGAGAGAGATGAAGGAAGAAGACACTGTGAGGTAGGCAGATTTTGAGTGCATGGCCACAAGGGCTGGCCTGTTGGAGTAGGAGCAGGGTCTAAGTGGAACATGGGAAGTGATATACTGGGTTTATCAACAGGGAAGTAGACAGGATAGGATAGAATAGGATAGGACAGGACAGGACAGGACAGGACAGGACAGGACAGGACAGGACAG